ACGTGTGTATATATATATATATATATATATATATTCCCTTTAAAGGGGTGCCAGTGATATATTTTAGTTCCTCAAATCTGACAGACCAGTACAGTATACTAAGAAAAGAAAAAGAAATCATTTCTCCTTTGTGCAGAGAATAGTGCTTAATTCATGTCAAAATGTCCTTGGCGTGATGCACGTTTCGAAGGGAAGAAATTTGAACGGTTATCTTGAAACAGGCGGAGAAGGCTTACTCACAGAATGCTTAGTGCGATAATTAATCTCATGAGGAAATCATTATGCTTCTTCGCTGAGGATAGAAGTATTTATTCATTTCATTTTTTTATTTATTTTCACATCCGTCGAAGGGCAGCAGGCAGGTTGGCCTTCGATCAGCAAAACCAAACTAAAATTAAATTGAGTAGACAATGATTTTTGAGTTTGTTTAGGCTTGTTCACATGTTATTTGTAAGCTGGTAAAAAAGGAAATGTGAGTGTGGGGGTCGATAACTCTCTCTCTCTCTCTCTCTCTCTCTCTCTCTGAGTGCTTTCATCTGGAACTGAAACAAGCGCCTGAAATTCCTCATGAACTCGTTGAACCAGTAACATGGGCGTCTAGGGGTCACACGGATCCGTCTCGCACCCTGACTCAGCTCAGCCGTTTTTATAATATTACGATTTGTTTCATTCTTGTGTGAGTCACTCAAAATTCTGCGTTCAATTCATGTTGAAGCTAGCATTTGTGAAATTGTGTTTAGAGTAAACTGCTTACAATGGAAGTCTATGGGGCAAATGTACTGGGTGGTTTTAAAGCAGAAATGTTAAAGCACTTATACTGATTCTTTCATGCAAAAATGTATTTTCATTAATGTATTTCAAGTCCATAAATAAAGTTGTTCCAAAGAATACCAAATAAACCTTCTGATGTTAAACACTACTATAACAGAGCGAATTCAGCTTTACATGGTCATGGCATTAGTTGACAAGTAATTTCATCACAATAATCTCACGGTAACACAAATAATACTGTATGTAAGTCTTATAATGATATTTGTGACCCTGGACCACAAAACCAGTCATAAGCAGCACGGGTGTATTTGTAGCAATAGCCAAAAATCATTAAAGATCATGTTCCATGAAGATATTTTTTAAATTTCCTAACGTAAATATATCAAAACATAATTTCTGATTAGTAATATGCATTGCTAAGAACTTCATTTGAACAACTTTAATGGCGATTTTCTCAATATGTGACCCTGGACCACAAAACCAATCATAAGGGTCAATTTTTTAAAATAGAGATTTATACATCATCTGAAAGGTGATAAATAAATAAATCTGAAAAAGTAATAAATAAGCTTTCAATTGATGTATGGTTTGTTAGGATAGGACGATATTAGGCCGAGATACAACTATTTGAAATCTGGAATCTGAGGGTGCAAAAAAAACAAAATACTGAGAAAATCACCTTTAAAGATGTCCAAATGAAGTTCTTAGCAATGCATATTACTAATCAAAAATTAAGTTTTGATATATTTACGGTAAGAAATTTACAAAATATCTTCATGGAACATGATCTTTACTTAATATCCTAATGATTTTTGGTATAAAAGAAAAATCGATAATTTTGACCCATACAGTGTTTTTTGGGGTATTGCTACAAATATACCCCAGCGACTTAAGTCTTGTTTTGTGGTCCAGGGTCACATATTTAGATTTTTTTGCACCCTCAGATTCCAGATTTTCAAATAGTTGTATCTCAGCCAAATATTGTCCTATGCTAACTAACCATACATCAATGAAAAGCTTATGTATTCAGCTTTCAGATGTATACATTTAATCAATTTAAAAAAAGTGAGCCTTATGACTGGTTTTGTGGTCCAGTGTCACATTTTAATCATAATAATTATGTGTATTTTTATCATTTGCGACATTTGCCTCATAGAATCCCATTTTAAATTTGCTGTAAACACGCATTTTCTTTGTTTGTACAAACTGAGGAGTAAATGAAAGTTATTTTATATGGTAATAGAGCTTATTGAACCCGGAACAGAGTCTGAATTGTACCTGCTCAGGACTATCAACACACACACACATGACACAGCACACACGCTGAGTGTAATAACACTGTTGTGATTTTAATCAGGGTTTGTGTCTCCATGTCTTCCTGCTTTAATGAGGAGCAGTTGTCGATCTGTCCGGCCCAAATTTGCTCTCGCTGTGAGCTCAGAGACCAACCCCTCTCACTTTCCCTCTTTCAGTGTTTTCAGACAACGACATACGCTGTTGACACTTCCTAACGCTTGCTTTCTGTTTATCTGCAGTAACGGTACAGCTGGGAAGATGAACGGCGCCCTGGAGCACTCGGACCAGCCTGATCCGGACGCCATTAAGATGTTTGTGGGTCAGATCCCTCGCTCCTGGTCCGAGAAAGAGTTAAAGGAGCTTTTTGAGCCGTACGGTGCCGTCTACCAGATCAACATACTGCGAGATCGTAGTCAGAACCCACCACAGAGCAAAGGTAGCGTGCGTTTCCTGTCTTAATACATCACAAACGCCATCGCAGCAGCAGGGTGTCGTGTTGTGTCATGTAAACCTGCTCACATGTGTGATGTGTTAGCTTGAGTCTCGGACTTCCTGTTTTGCGTCTTCATTTCCTGTCTGCCTGTTTCTGACTTGCATCCTCCATCCATATCTTTCTTTTTCTCCATTTTTCAAAGGCTATGTTTAAAAACCTGTTTAGGCATTGCTAGAATTAGGGCTGCACATTTAATCGAATTTCTAATCGCGATTACAATTATGGATGCCACAATTACGTAATCGTTCAAAGCGGCAATTAAATGTTCAAAGTCCACTTATGTTATTCTGCGTGCTTAAGATGCTTTTTTTTTCTTTCTACATGTTCCACTTATGTTATTCTGCACGCTTAAGATTTTCAGTAAGTAAGATTTAAGTTTATTTCTTTCTACATGTTATCTTAAGGGGTTTTCCATTGTTTTAGTTTTAGTTTTAGTGTAACATTATAATACCATTCATATTTTTGCTTTTTTATGATTTAAAGAAGAAACCAATCCGATGTATAGTTGGCATTTGAGGCTTAATACTATAGAAAAGCACTAACGTTTTTTCAGTTAGAGTGTTTTCAGCTTGTTTATTTTCATATAAAAATACGGCATGCAGTTGCATCAAACAATGGTAAAAACATCATTCAATGTAAATTGTGATAATCGTAATTAATAATCGCAATTACAATTTCAAGGGAATAATCGACAATTATGATTTTTGTCATAATCGTGCAGCCCTAGCTAGAATGCATTGCAACAGACTCAGTTAAAACTATCGCTAAAGAATTGCGAAAATATGCTTATAAATATTCCAGATTTCTTCAGAAGTGTGAAGCTTTTATTTGTGTTAAAGCACTTACAGTATATTAATTATTTCATGCAAAAATGTATTTTCATTAATGTATTTAACCTGTTATAGAAGTGTTTAATATCAAAAGTTTTATGTGTTGTTCATGGAACAACTTTAATAGGCTAATTCAGCTTTACATGGTAATGGCTTGAGTTGATAAATTGTCTGTAATGTTGCACAGACAAGCTTAGTAAGCAATTTTATCACAATAATCTCAAAAGCTATGTCCAAAAATCTGTTAGAATGCAGATTGCTAGAATGCATTGCAACAGGCTCCGTTAAAACTATCGCTAAAGATGGCAGACAGAATTGCAAAAATGTGTTTATAAATATTCCAGATTTCTTCCGAATTTTTTATTGAAATAAAAACCGACAGTTTGGCCCAGTATTCGCGATGTTTATATCTTTATAGTATCGCAATATTAGCTTAGCAACATGCTAGCATCAAACAAAATTGGAGTCTCCCAAGCTGTTCACGCACTTCGTTGCTGCGTTTATGTCCTTCTGTAAAGTTTCTACTTATAAACTTGAATTATTATCTTCATGTGGTTTTGGTCAGAAATGATTGTGTTGGTCAGTTTCATATTTATTTCTCTCTTTTTTTTCATTTATGAACAAACTGCAATACAACACAATTAAACGCAAAAGATTCACACAGAATGTTCATAAAGTGCATTGTTGAGTTTAAATGCATGAAACGTAAGGCAGTGAAATGAAAAAAGCTAGATCTTGAGAATCGTTTGCGCGATAAGCTGCAAAAGGAAAGCATAACGATATTAGCATGTTAACAGAAAAACAATGGAAGCCAGTAGAATTCAAAAACCTGCTGTGTTAATTGCCTTTACGTATTGTGTGTAATTAATACTAGGGCTGAACGATTTTGGAAAATAATTTAATGGCGATTTTTTTTTACAAATATTGCGATTGCGATTTAATATGCAATTATTTTTTAAAGCTCTTTATTTTCTGTATTATTCAACAAAGACAAGCTATAAATCATTGTATAGTATGACCAACACAATATTAGATAGATTAAACATAAATGTTCTTTTCGGTAGGCCAGGCCTATATGTTACGATGAAATTAGGTGATGCATGAATTGATATGAATGACATTTTTATTTAACAACTACAATCACAGTACATTGACTGATTTGTTGAACTTCCAACCTTGTAAGCATGTAATAATTATGACAACATAAAGCACTGACAAATAAGACTGGTGTAAACATTAATATGAAAGTCAGTAACAAATCACAAACTAAAGTAGATTGCAGAAATATAAAAACAAATCTGTTGCATTACCACACTACTTTAGGTAATTCAAAGTCACTGTAATAAACATATGTAAACATGTGCACTGCACTAAACACTGTCTGTTAACTTTAGACCAGTGGTTCTCAAACTTTTTTGGTTGCGCCCCCCTCAGACTACCAAATAATTTCACTAAACATTATGAAAAATTAATGTTTTTTTAATTTAAAAAACCTACAGGGAAAAAAACACCTGCATCACTTGAAACATTGAAAAATAGCATAGAGAAATTACCAGCCCCTGCCTGGTTTTGTGCGACTTCATCTATGGCTTTTCTCTTCCCTTTCACAAACCGATCCATCTCCCATTCTAAGTTACGTCCTTTGGCTGTTTACGGTTTTATTTCTTTTCTTTTTCTGCTGATGGCTCACGCTCGACTTGAAGCAGCGGTGTGTGTCATCAAAGTTCTGCGAGAGCTATAAGAGAGCGCGGACGTCTCCTTATGCTTTCTCTCGCCGTACTTTGATGTCATACACCGATCGATCTTCAAGTTGAACACACCTCTTTACTCTCACGTGTCACGTGACCGAGTGTAATCACAGCCTCTGCGATTAAATTTTTTTTTTGTTTTTTCATATCGCGATATTATTGCAAATGCAATTAATCGTTCAGCCCTAATTAATACTGTATTGCATTGCAAATGTGCTGCTATAGAGCATGATGGGTATTATAGATTGGTCGCACTATCCTGATGCCTCGTTTGCTTTAGCTTTAGCTTTATTCATCAAACAGTTCATTAAATACATGCAAACTAATACTTGTCAACAATAACAATTGAAATGTAGCTTCCACCTAGGGCTGGGCGATTTTGCAAAAAATTTAAATCTCGATTTTTCTAGAATATTTAACCGATTCTCTATTTTTTTTACGATTTCTAACTAGTCAACTTGAAAATGTAACTACAACATGATTCAAGTTACTTTTTCTTTATTAACTCTCTAGTTAAAGAAAATTCTATTCTAAGTGCAGCACACATGAAGTTGTCAACATGATCGTCTCCTTATGCTTTCTCTCGCCGTACTTTGATGTCATACACCGATCGATCTTCAAGTTGAACACACCTCTTTACTCTCACGTGTCACGTGACCGAGTGTAATCACAGCCTCTGCGATTAAATTTTTTTTTTGTATGAAATGTGCTATATAAATAAACTTGCCTTGCCTATAAGTGCAGCACACATGAAGTTGTCAACATGATGTAAATGTTAAAACAAATCACTTTGATGTAAATGTTAAAACAAATCACTTGTTAAATATCTTTGCAGAAAAGATACATAAACTACAAGTACATATTGTACAAACTTGTCTTATTATGTGTTCAGAACTAATACGAGGAAAATGCTTTTAAAAAATTTCAAAAGTCACGGTAATTCAAATTCAAAATGACTGAAGGTATAACACCAGTAGACTATTATTAACTATAAATGTTCTGTAAAAACAACAGCAGCTTTCACCCTGTCACCATGATGCAAACATGAAATATCACACATACAGTAGTAGTTCTTTACAGGTTTTGTATTTGATTGCGCTGCTTTTCCATTGTTTTTTCTGTGTAAACATGGATGTGTTTGACTGTTGCGCTCGCGTCTCTTGCAGCGTCTCATGCATGAAACGCCATTCTAAAAACACTGCACTCAAGTTAAAAGAAGTTTACTCCCATCTTCTTGCATGGTTTACCTATTCCACTGCCCGTGTCGCATCTTTGTCAACACAAAAGCGCATTCTGTGTGAATGGCGCTTAGCGCTATATTAATGGTCCTTCACAGAGCGCATCACACGTGAGCGGTTAATCACGTGTGCCGACATGCGGTTGGATCATTCGTTTCTCTTTACTGTTATCACCGGCATATTGTTAAAGTGTCTAATTCTAACATTTGGTAATATTTCTATTCAAAATCGCGATTCCTCGATTTCTAATAAATAAAATCGTGGCAAAACAAGAAATTCAAATTAATCGATTAAATCGGGAAAATCGCCCAGCCCTACTTCCACCTTGATTCTCTAATTTACACACCTGCAACTCAGAAAATCTGAACTTAAGAGTTTTTAGACTCATAATTACGACATTGTGGTGGCATTCATGTTCGCTCATCTCGTAGATATGACCCTTTCAACACAACTTGAATGCAGTAATGTTCCAAATCAGTCATTTATGAGGTTTAGTTTTGGTTCCGATGCCGCCTTTGTAGGCGGTAGACAGCGAGGTAGCTCTCTAGGTTTCAGAATAGTGCTAAAGCGTAGGCGTTAACCTCGGTTCTGCAGAGTTGTTAACACTCAGACAGGAAGATAGCATGTACACGTTCACAGTGCCGCCCATCCTCTCACTCTTATGGAGGATGAATCAGGGCCGCGTGGGAGAGCATTACTCAAGTCCTGTACTCTCTCTCGCGCACACACAGGCATTGCGACGGGTATCTCCGGCAGAGCTGAGGTGTGTGATTGGCTTTCAGACGGGGTAATGAGTGCTCCTGTACTTCAGTTAGCTGCAGTTAGAGTGCCTCTCTCGGGTCCAGCTTCATCAAGGCCTCTGACACAGCCGTGGGGCCGTAATGGCCGCCGCTAGCCTTCAGCTTCACTCTAACCCATTTTCATTTAGGAAAAGGTCGTCTGCGCGCGACTCCGGCTGTTAAATTAGACAGTATTGAAAGATTTCTCCACCAACTAAGTCGCAAGGTGAGCGTTAACTTCCAGCTTGTCTCTCTGGCACTGTCTTTCCCTTTGGCGTCCGCCAATTAGAACTGATTTTCTCTAAAAAAGGATTTGGTTTTCCTTTTTTTTCCCCATAAGGACAGTTT